TTTGGTTTAATTCATTAAGCCTCATTTCTCGGATTTAATTAATTAGTAACTCATAAAGTTTAATTAATTAACTCTTTTAATTAATTTAATTAATTCACTCTTTTAATTATTTCTATAATTAATTAACTCCTTTAATCAATTTACCAATAAACCTTTCCAAAGACAGTTTTTATTAATTCAAAATTTAGAATGTTTCAAATATAACATAAATTTTCTGATTTTGTGTGTAAACTCTTTAAATTTACTAATTAACTAGTCATGTGTTAGTGACTATTAAATTACTTATATTAATTAAACTCCTTTAACAAACATTTCTTTAATTTAATTTCCAATTGAATAACAAATTCCCATAATCCATAGTGTACATCTAGCAATATTGCCATTAATACCTAGATAGGTGAAGTAAAGACGTGAACCTTTCATCTGTGCATTACATGCAAACAGAGTCTTTCGTTATCTATCATTTGATTGAGATCTAGGACTTGGATATATGTCTATTAGCGTCTGTATGATCTTGATAGTGTAAGAAAATGCAGAGGGAAATGTAATGTAGCGGAATTTAAAATTCTCAATCATAATGCTTGATTCAATCATGCTCAAACCCTAACTAATGCACCTAAGAACAATATGTAGTGATTGATCAAAAATAAAATATTATACCTTTAATGCTTCTGACTAAAATAAGGTAAGAACGAATTCAAATATGCTTCTGCAAGTTCGATCATTCTATATGAGAGAAATCCAAATATCATTCCTTTATGATTGATCCACGTATCAGACACTTAACTCAAATTCATCGCTATACTAGTAGCTTGAAACCACTCTTAGCTTATGAATAATTGGAGATAGGTATGGAGGACTTTGAGATTAAAGAATTTATTTTCATCACACCTTCTCAATAGAACAGACCTCTTTTTGTAGAGGGTGCCAAGAAAGTCTTTGTTTAACTGAAACCCTTTTATATTATTAAGATAATATACAAATTAAAATTTAAATTTAATTTAGTAATTTAATTAATAATTATATCACTTAAATGGCTTTAAAATCTCTAGGGGCCTTTAAAGGGTTGACCAATTTAATGGGCCACAACCACGGGTTTTTAACAACGGGCTTTCATAAGCTCAAATCCCTCAAGTTCTGTCAACTCAACCCTTTGAACCAAATACTTTAATTAAACAATTTAATTAAAAAATAAAAGCTAAATTAATTGGTATAACTAATTAATTAATTACCTTAATCAATTATTTGTTTCTCCAATAAATATTCCATGCTATCTAATGATTAGATATAAAATCATAATTGATATAGACTTATTTGACTTAGTGTGTGATCTCTTAAATTCATCAATTAACTAGTCATGGTTTATTAATTAATAAATAATTACTTTTATTAATTAAACTCTTTTAATTAATAATTTTTTATTTAATCCTCAATTAAATACATGATTTGGCAATACCCCTAGCCCAATTAATAAATAATTTTTTTTATTAATTAAACTCTTTTAATTAACTACTCTTTATTTAATCCCAATTAGATATGTGATTTGGCAATCTCCCTAGCCGAATAGATCGTGCATTCACTGCTCTTGGTTTCAATCTTCAATCTACAGTTCCAAATGAATTTTCAGCTAATCATCCGATCGCCTAGATTAGATTCGCACCTATCTAAGCGCTTGCAGAATCAATTCAAACAAACCCCAGCGAAACTCCTCTACTACCTTCTGTGTTCCTTGTTAGATTGAAACTCCACTAGAAGCTTTGATCTACTTCATTGGGTTCAAATTTCACCCGTTTAGCTTCGATTGGCTTCTTGTGTTATCAAATCTTGCCTCCATGCAGATTTAGCAGTCGCCGACTCTCCTTGGCGTTGTCGGTGTCTTCGTTGTGACTAGCAAATGCTTTTTTAGAAGCTTCTTTTGTTCCCTAACTAGAAAGCAGCTCACAACTTGAGCATAACCCAATTGCCCTAGTTGAATTCAGTCATCCCAAGTTCCAATCCGCCTAGTTCGAGCTCGATCTCCTCAGCCTAGCCTGACTCATCCAAGCCCAGCCCATTTTGGTGATTGATAACTCTTCAACACTTTCTACCTAGTCCAATCATGTTCAACCCACTGTACTAGTCCAATCCAGATTTATGGGTGCAACAGGTATTACAATGCATCTTCCTAACATTTAAAAAAAATTATTAAAAGTTGAAAATTTTGATGGTTTTGTTTTCACAATTGTTGTAGGAATGTTGACTTTGAAGATTTTCAAGAATTTATTTTAAATCTAATTTTGGTGCATTTTAATATTTGAAAAGCCCTCTTAATATAGATTTCTAATGCAATGTTTTCAAACATCGTTTTGAAGTTGTTTTCGATTCATAAATAGAATGGATGGGCAAACTTGCCTTCTTGGGCAAATTGGTCACCTTGTAAAGGAATCCGTGTGGGAATGAAAAATGGAAGATGAAATAATGAAGTAAAATAGAATAGGACATGCAATTTAATTTATATAACAAGTAATACAAATTAAACTACAAGCAATAAGTCAAACCACTAATTTACAGATTGCACCCTTAAATTAGAACTTTTTGGTACTTTGTATCTTAAATATATAAAATTAGCATTTTGTACAGAAATTTTAACAATTTTGCACCTGAACTAAAAATCTAGCAGGGGCATGATTTTTATACTTAATCTTTAAAGGGTATAATTCAAATTTAACAATTTTCTTTCCAATCCTTTTGGGGTGCAATAAACAAATATCTAGTTAATTTGTAAATTGCACTCCAACATTAAATCTTATAATTTTCTTTAAAAAAAGAGTCTTTTCACTTAGATTTATAACAGCAACATAAAAATATTTCATATAAAGAATAATTTTATTATTAATTGAAAATTCTTAGTAGTAGGATATAAGTCTTGTTTTTTTAAGGTTTTAATCAAATTTAAATATAAATACATCTTATTAAACTCCTTATAAATAAATAATCAAACCATTATTGATAGCCCTTGAGTGGTTGACAAAAAGGCAGCTTATGATCATTTTAAATTTAAATAAAATAAATTTAGGTAAAAAAAATTTAAATAAAAGTGTGTTTGATTATTAATTTATAAAGAGTTTAATTAGATGTACTAAAATTTATATTTGATTAAAACTTTAAATAAACAAACCTTATATCCCATTAGTAGAAATTTTCAATTAATGATAAAATTATTCTTTTATATAAAATATTTTTAATTTTTTTTTTCTTATAAATTCAAGTGAAAAGACTCTTTTAAAAATTATAAGATTTAATGTTGAGGTGCAATTTACAAATTAATTAAATATTTGCATATTGCACTCCAAGAAAATTTGGAGAGAAAATTACTAAAATTTAATTATATCTTTTAAAGGTTAAATACAAATTACGCTCCGGTGGTAGATTCCAAGCGAGAGTGCAAAATTGTTAAAGTTTGGATGTAAAATATCAAATTTATATTTTTGGGGTGCAAAGTATTAAAAAGTTCTAATTTAAAGATATCATCTGCAAATTAGTTTAAGTTAAATCAGTATATAATACATGATTACAAACTAAAAATTTAAAACTCGTTACCAAACTTGCTTTACAAATGAGAAGAATCACTTACATTACAGTCCATAACAGATCACTGATCGAAATGTTCTTTCTTACAGTTGCTGCACAAGAAGAATCCCAAGTCTATACCTAGTTGCCTAAGTTCTTAGAGTAGGCCTAACTAAGTTTAAGATTTTTACAGAGTTGTTTATTAATAATGATATCTCATATCCAAATTATTATTATTATTTTTTTTTTATATATATATGGTGTTAAAAATTACCAATTCCACATATAAAGTATTTGTTATAAGTTGTTCAGCTGTATAAATTATGCTAAGCTTACTCCAAAAATGATTGACAACTTTTATTTTGCAAATCATTCGACACGAGATTGTTTTGTTTGCATTTAACTTCTAGAGTTAAGAATATCCAAGTCATTGAACCTGTTTCTTAAACATGACCCAACTCAAGATTCCTATATGAATACTATTGCTAAATTTGGCTCATTTCAAGCTATTTTCTCCATTTGATTATTAACAGAAGTTGAGAAATATGACAACCTGTTACAGATTAAATAGGAAGTCATGTCTCTTTCGTCTTTTGGAGTTCGGTCAATCCATGAATGATGTGACAGTAAAGACTTCGTATTCTATGACATATCATGAAAAATATAATAGAAATATTTTAAATTCATAAAAGGATTGAATTTATTGTTCTATTTTTTCAATAACTTGAGTAAATCTAAATTTCAATTGTTCTTCTCTTTTTTTTTTTTTTTAATGAAAAATGTAAAACACTACCCTCTTTTTTTAACAAGACCAGCACAAGATTTGAGCAAGGAGGTTCGTTGGCTCTCCGCATCCGGCATCCCTCCGTGCCCGGACTGACAGACAGTTGAAAATTTTAACCTCGCCGCCAAACAATTCCAAACCCCCAAACTCTTCGCAATTCCTACATTGACCCCAAAACATCGCCCCCCTAGACGGAGCTCCGTCAGCGGATTCCGACCTAAGCATGCTTCCTCGGCATACCACGTTGTCATATTTCATCGCAGATCCCATTCTGTAACGACCTCGTCCTTCTCCTTTCCCCTCTAAATTCTCTCCCGCGAAAACCTCCTCATCAACGTCGATTCCCCGTCAGAAGACGCCGATACATCCAAAGCTCCCTCCTGATTAGCTGTCCCACTGTCTCTCTCAACTCGAACCTTCTGATCGACAATCTCCAGCTATTTTCTCTCCATGATCTTGCTCCCGAGAATCTAGCCTTCCTCAAATATAATCATATATATACGTGCATAGAGAGAGAGAGAGAGGGAGAGAGAGAGAGAGAGAGAGAGAGAGAGAGAGAGAGAGGAGAGTTAAGTATATATAATTGAATGGATCGGAGGCGGACAGCGAGTCGGTGTACTCGAGGCAATGGAGCGGCGGTTCGAGCACGGGCTCGTCATCGCCGGCGATGTCGCCGGCGCATCCGCAATCGAGGCTAGGCCAGTCCACTGGCTTCTCCTCAATCAAGAAGGCACAGAACGTTGCGGCGAAGGCCGCTGCCCAACGCCTGGCGCAGGTCATGGCTTCACAGGTAGCGGACGACGAGGAAGAAGACGAAGATTTCCAATTCGCTCGGCCGGCTCCTGCTTTTTCCAGTAATGTTAAGCGTAACAACAATAGTATACCTGCCGTTTCGTTGGCTAGGCCTAATAGATCACCGTCTCCTGCGGTAATTTTATCAATTATTTTCTTACGGTGTAGTTTGATCCAATTTTCACTGAATTGTTACGTCCGGAGTCGTAATTAGTTAGTATTAAGTGTAACTGAGAGCTTTTTAGACTTCCAGTTTGTCAGATTCCCTGCACTTAACCGCCAGATTTTAGATTCGGCAAAACGCAAAGTTCCGAATTCATGGGAATCAGCTGACCACTATTAATTAGTTAGTTTTAATATGTCGACAAAAATTTTAAAAAAAAAGGAAAAAGGAAAAAAAAATCACCTCACATTTAGTGGATGAATTTGTGGTTGTTTGTCTAATGAACGTTTGGTTAAGTGAGTATATCAAATAACAGATTATCGTGGATTTTTCTAAATGGTAAATTTGCTGAATCTGATATAGGGAATGTAAAATTTTAATTTTAAGCTTCTTCTTCTGATTTGGGTTTAGCTGCAGGTGGTTTTACACGTTAAAAATCTTTTCTTTTCTTTTTTTTTTCCTTGGCCACACCCCCGGGAGGGGGGGGCTGGGGTGGTGGTGGTGGTCGGGAACTGTTTTGCCAGTTTATTGCACTAACAGGAGAAGTATTTGGGTTACATATCTGCATCAGAAAGTGGAGGACTGGAGATTTTGATTATTCATTTCTAAAATAGCATTAGAAAGACCGAATAAAACTTTAAGGCAATGTACATTGGTTATAATGTTGGAGCCTAATTGGATATTATCTTTTGTAGTTAGGTCGCAACTTTATGGAGCATACTTCTTCAGTTCGTTCGACATCTGCTGGAAGACCATCAGTGTCAGTTCATTCAACGACAATAGTGGCACCTAGTCAAGGAACACTAAGAACTCCATTCAGCATTCCACCAATAGAGCCTCCTAGTAGCAGACTAAAAGAAAAAAGGTAACAGATGTTATTTCCATGTTCTTCTTGTATTACACAACTTGAACCAAATCAACTTAAGCTTTTCTGCAACCACAAGGGTTCTTGTGTTTGTCATTGTTGACAGTAATTTGAATCTTGTTCTGAAGTATTTGACTATGCATAATTGTACCTGTGCTTGATAACCATTTTCAAATTTTTTATAAGTTAAAACGTAGTCTTATGTGATCCCTTTCTTTTTGGTTGGGGTGGTTGGACTGAAGATAATCTTTAAACAATTTGTATAATATCTAATCTCCTTATTATATTATTTATTATTGGCATAGTTTATTCTTAATATGAATTTTACAAACTTCTCAACAGGTCTATTTAGAATTTTACGTCTTCCAAATTGAAGTATATCCATTTGCACCATTGGTTGATACGTAAACTAAGTACTTCCTGGTCCAAAAAGAAAAGAAAAAAGAAAGAAAGCACTAATGGTTTGAATGGCTTGTGCAGGTGCTTTATTTAGGACCTTATCGTTTGGGAAAAATATGCTTTCTCATCCTTCCATTTTTGCTTTGATAAACATAAAATGCCCTTCCAAATAATTAGTGAACTAGATCATAGGCATATATATCAACCTTACCATATTATCACCTTAGCTTAGTGCCACATGGAACCTACATTTGTGCATCCATGTCTAGCTTTGCAGGAAACATAGCACCTTGTGTCATGATCTGGGAAATCTCACATAAAATTTTTGCTTAATCTTCTCACATACGCTTGCAGCAGAAGTTGCCAGTGAAGTTATCTAGTCCCACCAAGACTTAACTATGTCTTACTTCAAAACAAGACCATTTGCAGTCAACCAACATACTTCAATCATGTTCAGACCCACAATTGTGACCACACTCTACAAACACACAGAGTAGTTTGGATGAAAGGCAATCTAATGCAACATCCAAACATCTATATGGTTACCTCCATTAGCTGTCTTGCATGACTGGTGGCATAGGATGCAAGGCCAACACTGCTGCATCAGTACACCGTGCCTCATGACAAGAAGAAGAGTGTGCTTTGACATCGTCTAAGAACATGGATGTCAGCACCATTCTGCACAACTATTTGGAACAACTCAACCATTGCCAGTCTTGAATAACATGGCATCATCAATACAAGTGGTGTTGGCAAGTTGGATCCCCATGAAGTAGAACCTGAACTAATGCCCACGAGTCAGCATATGAAGCCCCAAGGTGGTGTATCACATGCTCATTGAGTTTAGAACACTATTCCAGCTTTGTGGGGTATAATATATGCATGTTCAAACCTCTTTCATGAAGGTTGAACCAGTGCACGGCACCTTCCTTCTCCATAACATTGTCTGCAAGGTTCCCATTCCTTAATGAAGACCATAGATACCTCCATCAAGTGTCTAGCGTCTGCTCCATGTCACCATGGGGGTGCTTACTCAATGCCACAAGGTTGGCCCAAGGTGGCACTAGGGGTTAGTAGGCAGCTCACAAGGTGAAATCTGGAAAATCCACTGTCTCCGCCCCCCGCGCCCCCCCCCCCCCCCAAAAAAAAAAAAAAAAAAAAACCCTGCAAATTGTAGCATTTTGAGCCATTTTAAAATTTCCAGGAGGAAATCATTCATGGCAAGGAGTCATAATAGCTCCAGAAAATTCCCACATCTCCGAAATTCATTTCATTATTTGCTATTTGCTATGTTTTTGAGATGGCTTCCACTATTATAGGTTGGTTTATGACTATTCATTGAATGCATGTTGTTTTGGTAGAAGAAGCAATTTTGAATTTGCATTGTGTATTGGCAGCATAGATATTTCTTATATTGGAAAACTTTGTAGGTTTACACCAGATGTTGGACATAAAGACTTAAAGGATGCTGGAAATCAGCGGGGGGCTTCTGCTCTCAGAGATGAAGTATGAAAATTGATTGTTCCTAACCTGTCAGTTTTCTGTTTTCTTATCTCACTTGTATCTAACCCATAGAGTAATGGAAGCCAGTTTCTGGGACATAGACGATTTTTATTCACTTTGGGTTGGTCTATTTTGAAACAATAGAGAACCTTACTGTTATGAAAATTTTGTAATCCTAAATGATTATTTCAAAGTTGGCATCTGCTCAAATTGCAGCTTGATATGCTACAGGAGGAGAATGAGATTATACTTGATAAGGTGAGCTTCCCCAATAACCTAACTGAAACATGTTTAATAAATAAATCATTCAATGAATCGATACAAAATATTATATATTGTAGTTTCATATGTCTTAAACTTATGCTTGTATTTGCTCTGCAGCTTCGCCATGCAGAAGAAAAGCGTGAAGCAGCGGAGGCCAGAGCCCGGGAATTAGAAAAACAAGTAATTAATCTGTATCAGTTAGTAATAGTCAAGTCTTAAAATTGTGTTTACTGCATAATGTTCTTCAATGGGATCAACTAGCTGTTGTTTTACTATCACAGTTAAGATTTCTCCATGAGTTTCTGTTTTCATGATTGGTCAGGAGTAAACATCTTGCTGTAACATGGGACAGCCAGCAAGTTCAAACTTTGACAGTGATTTGTAGTCTATTTTGCACACACTGAGACTTGCCTGGTGCCTTATGGATGTTGCCACTGTTGAAAGGATGTAGGTTACAGTATATAACACTGTCCTAACAAGTCTATGCCCAAGGCATGACCTATGTAACTAAACTGCTTGTGATTAGGACCACATTAACAGCAAAAAAGGGTGATCTAGTATTAGGGTGGTATACTTGGCAACCCCAGCTATTTGAAACTAAGCCAGCCTAACCAAATTTAAATTGAGCCCCATCCACCCTTACATAACTTGTTACCTTTAATTTAACTTGGCAATTTATATGGTTTGGTATGGGATTGGGTTTGAACAATTTGGTTTTAGTTTGGAGTCAAAGTCTACTTGGGCAAGCCAAGAAGTAGCCTTTTCTAGTAGCAACTACTAGTAAAATGTGTGAGGGATACTCTTTGTGAGATCTGATAATTGAATAAAGATATTACAATTTAATTCTAGCATGTATTATATTCTGATTAAAATGAATGCGAAGTGTAATTGGTGTTTTCAAATTCATGTTTGCCAATTCTTCAATGTCTATCGTAACTTTATGTATGAATGAGGTGGCAACCAAAGTGGCTTTAGAGATGAAAAATCCCTTGGTGAAGCCTCATCTTCCTTGAACAATCATTATATGAAATTTTAGAGAATATGTATCTGTTAATAAACCATAGAATTTAATTTTTTGCGTTACCTTGTTCTTTCCACTCACTGTGTAATATTTTTACGATTTGCTTCATGTATGCATTCCCCATCCATGGTTTCTTCTGTCCTTGTGTGGCTACTTGGATCATTCTATGGCTGTTTTGTTTCATGCTTTCTATCTTTCCCCCTTCATATGAGTCAGAGTTTCTCATTAGTCACGTATGTACCTGTATCTAAAATGGTGTGGCCTTGTTTAGTGCCATATAATTATCCAAACAGCACCTGAGGGAGCATATCTGAGTTGCAGTTTTGTTGAATGCTTCTAGACCTGACTCTTAAATGTGACATAGAAATTTGTCCTTTAGTATTTGCCAACCTAGAAATGTTACTTAATTGTCCAGCTTTGCCTTTTAAATTCTGAATTTATAGGTAGCTTCTCTTGGAGAAGGCATATCACTGGAAGCAAAGTTGTTGAGCAGGTAGAGTTGGATCGATCCGCCTATGTACTATTACATCTTAACTTTAGGCTTTGACATATTATGCCATTATTTGCAGGAAGGAAGCTGCACTGCGTCAAAGAGAGGTGAGTTTGAGATTCATTTTACAATATTTCGGCCTTTTAGAGTCATCCTAGTTTTAGTTGGTGGTGAGGAAGTGATTACTCTGGAATGACTTCTGACCATAATCAAAATTAGCTGGGTAACATAAGTCATGTATTTCAAAGTATTTGTTCTAAATGTACCACGTGTATGGTTGGTTCTTTATTGTGAGAGACTCCTTGTTTTGCTATCTACCAAATCCCAAATATTATTCTTATTATAGTTTCTCTTAAGCTCTTTACATTATTTGGGACAGGCTGCCCTTAGAGCTGCAAAACAAGTAAAAGATGGGAGAGATGATGAAATTGCTGCCCTTCGTGTGGACATTGGGGTAGGATGAGCTAATAGTTTAATTCTTCTATTTGCTTTTCACTTTAATGGCATATTATTGATCCTTTTTTTCTTTCTCCTTTTTTATTTCTGGATCAGAATTTAAAAGATGATACTACAAATGCTCTAGAACAACTCCAAGAAGCTGAATCTGAAGCAAAAGCTCTTCGCACAATGACTCGGAGAATGATTTTGACTAAAGAGGAGATGGTAACTACATCACAAATTCTATTTAAAGCCTTCATGATTTTTAATCTTTTTATTAAATTCACATTTTGTAATTTATATTTCAGGAAGAAGTTGTTTTGAAAAGATGTTGGCTCGCTCGCTATTGGGGTTAGCTGTCCAGCATGGTAATGCACTGTGCTAATATCTTCTTCTTTGTAGGAGTCTAAAATAGAGGCACACTAGCTCATTCACATCTGTGACTGAGTGAAATGATAAAGCCATTTAGAGTTTAATCTCAAACTTTCTTTCTTGAATTTCTATATTGTCTATATAGTTTTCTCAATATATGAAGCAATGAGTTTTTGGAAATATAAGTGCATTTAAAATCATTTCCTTTCAGAAATTGTTGGATTTGTTATTGTTTTTCAATGATGAGCTAATTTTTTGTAAATAATTTGTTATATTTCCTCTTTGTGCCTCTTTTGGACAATGTTTTTCTGTTTTCCAGGCATCTGCACAGATATAGCTGTCTCAAAGCATGAGCACTGGTCATCCTTGGCACCCCTTCCATTTGAAGTAGTAATTTCTGCTGGACAAAAGGCCAAGGAGGAGTCTTGGAATAATGGCAAGTCCCCTGTGGCATCATTTGCTCTCTATGTTCCTTTCTAAATGGCTTGCATCTCTATATTGACTTCTAAGCTTTTGTTTTATGTAACTATGAGCAGGTTATAGTGATTCAGAGCAGAGGATCAAACTTGTTCGTGATTTGAATGACTTAACTGGGGAAGGAAATATTGAAAGCATGCTTTCAGTTGAAATGGGTTTAAGGGAGTTAGCAGCCTTGAAGGTTTTCTTGTCATATCTTTGTTGTTTTGTTAAAGAAAGTTGTTTCCTTTTGTTGCTTTATTCTCTTTTCTTAGCATATAAAACCAATATAAAGCATAAACTACAAGAAATATGGACCACATGATTGTCCTGGAACTTCTAAAAAATATAGTAGAGTCAACATCCCTTTTTGTTCTTCTTTCTTTTATGTATTTGTCATTTCATTTATTCATTCCTTCTTTTCCATTAGTTTATCTTACAACACTGATGGTTAATTGTTATTACTAAGGTTGAGGATGCTGTTGTGCTTGCATTTGCCCATTCCCGAAGGCCAAATTTTGTTCGACAATTCCCCTCAGGTATGTCTTGTCGCCATTCTATATATATATATATATATATATTGATCACTTTCATTGGATAAAGCCCTTCTTCAGGTGGTCTGACTGATGGCTTGTAAGAAGTAAAAAAACTATAAGAAAACCTTGCACAAGAAACTGTGAGCAATTTTTTGGCCATCTCTTGTTGCGTTTGTTAGTTCCAGTAGGGTTCAATTTTTATATTAATAGGAGTTTACTTATAGGTCTTCACCAAACTTTATTCTTGGACTATGTATGCAAAATATGTTTTATTTTTCCCATTTAAGGTTTTGTTGATTTTGCTTCCCTGGAAGTCAGTTTTGTTGAATTCAGTGCTGAAGAATAAGCTTTTATCTTTTCCTAGTGAAAAATAATGATCATAATAATGGAAATTATGTACTTCTAATATATTTTCACATTTTATAAAATTTTAATCGCTTCCAAGAGCAATATGGTGGCTGTTGTGCCATAATTTCTTGTAAAATTCAGCAAGATCTCTGTGTCTGGAACATCCCCTTATTTCATGTTTAGTCCCTTTCTGAGGATCTGACCACTCACTAAAATTTCAGTTCTTTTCATGGTTTTGCAGATCCAAAATCATCTGGTGATCCCAAATTCATGGAGGCATTTGGTAATATAGATGCTCTTATTGTTTCTGATGTTAATCTTTGATGTTGGGAATGCTTATATTGTGGGCTACCACAACTGAGGGATTGCTGTTAATCTTTTATGTTGGGAATGCTTTTTTTTAATTGCTATCACATTATTAGTAAACTGAAGCATTGTGTTGGTGCTGTAGGTCACGGATTCTTGGATTTCCTTTCTTGTGTTTTTCACTCAGTTCTTGAGTTGGTAATGGAGCCCCTTCGCACCTGTCTGTGCATCTGTGTTTTTTCTTTTTTTTTTTTTTTTTGGGGGGGGTGGGGGGTTATGTTTCCAGAACGGGCTTGTAATTGATCTAAGGAACCAAGAGTTAATGTCAGTTATGCCACCCATTATAGCTTCCTTTGGTTATTATCTATTGAATTATCCGTATTGCAGGGATACAGTATTTTTACTGTCATAGCTTTGGATTTTGTATTGATAGTCCTGTGATTTTAAGTTTTTGTATTGGAGCTAGACGTGGACATTGTTTACTAACTCTGCATTATCATTTTATTTTGCCACAATATATATTTGCTGTTGGTTGATTCTCTAGCTCATTAATAGGCTTCTTGAGATAAATGGTTTTTTCAGCATTTCCATCTGCAAATAGCTTAAATATCATTTTTATATTTTTGGTTGTACAGCCGTCTGCCACTCCTAGCGATTCCCTGAAGGCCTCAATATATAGACTGTTGTCTCCATTTTGCATCAAATAAAATGGAAGATTGATTGTATGTCTAATCTTAGCTTTCTTATTGTTGGTTGCAGAACTTAGTCCAGAGGAATCAGAAGATGTCCTTTTCAAGCAGGTTTGCCGCGTGTTTTTCTAAATTTATTAATTTTATCTTGCCGTGCATCCTTGACTTGCAGAGCCTTCTAGTGATGCATGAACTATCATCTTTTTTGTTAATCATTTAATATACATGCATACATACATACATATATATATATATGTATGTATGTATGTATGTATGTATGTATGTATATGGCTCTGAATGCTTGGGTGCAAATATTTGATGGTTTGTTTGGCAATGAGTAATTGCAGCAATCATATTTTGCCATTCATGACAATTATGAAAACCAACACCAAAATCTGGCCATAAGGAAACTTATTTTACCTGTCTTATTCTTTTAACATTGTTATTTGTGACCTTCACTCTTGATATCTATGAGCTATGGTATTCAGTCTGACTGGATCCCTCCAAAAGTCAGAAAATGATATATTATAGTCCATAGAATTTAGTGTTTTAGTGTCTCTGTTATGTTCCCGTGTCACGGATCGAGTCCCAGGGCGATGCACAAGAAAATCTGCTTCGAGGATGCAGCCTTTCCCTTGTTACCATTCTTGTCTCGTGAAGAACCTATAATTATATATATATATATATATATATATATGGAACTCGTTGAAGGGAGCTCCTAACCTTAGACTTGTTAGAGAGAGTCTTAAACCTCTATAAATTTGGATGGAAATTCTGCTTGTTTTATTCTCTTCTCATTGTTCTCTTAAATAGAGATTACAAAGGAAATTATTCTTGCAAAAAGAAGAAAACTAAATTAAGGAATAAAATTAAGGACTTAAATTGCAATGAAAATACTTGCTAAAATTAACTCTTCTAATTAGGAATAAAATCATTATTTGTCTTCCTTTCCATTTTGGCACCATTGACTTCCTTATTTTGTGATCCATGCTATCCATAACATTACTCCCCTCTTGGAGAAAGAGCTTGTCCTCAAGCTTGAAAGTTGAATATTTCAGGCTTCCTACACTTATCTTGGTCCTGCACAATGCCATCATGATCTCTACCTCCAGCCAAAATAATTTTTTGCATTGGTGCCTGGATGAATATGGTTCATCACAGTTGTAACAGAGTCCCTTAGCTTTTCGTTCCGCTATCTCCTCACGAGTCAACTTCTTGATAAACGGAGGGGTTGCACTACTTAAACTCGAACTCGCCACCAGCAACCTGTCTTGCTCGAAGCTACTTTTAAGAGTAGGAGAGGAAAATGTGGCTGCCTTGTTGGTGCCTTTAGTGTTCGAGCCTGTGTTTTGCCAAGGCCCTCCTCACATGTCTGCCGCTCTTTCTAGTTGCTGCTTTTTCTCAAAAGCTCGTGCCAAACTCATTGCCTGAACAAGGTTTGCAGGTTTTTACATTTCCACATCAAGCCTAATTGAGTCCATTAAGCCTGCAGTAAATAAGTCTACCTGCTAATCCATTTGCACTATACTAGTACGTGCCAACAACCCTTGAAATTGGCACTAATAATCCTTAACTGTTTCAGTCTGGTACAAATTAACCAATTCACCTAATGGATTTCCGCATAATGGTGAGCCAAATCTCAAAGTGCAATATTCCTTGAATGCCTTCCAAGTGAGATTTGGTTCCTCCTGCTCCTTCTGATAACACCATAATTGCGCCTCACCTAACATGTGAAAAGCAGCCAGACTAACCTTGTCTGTTTCATCAGTTCGATGATGGAAAAAGAATTTCTCACATCGGTGTAACCATATTAGTGGATCCTCTGACCCATCATAAGTCGGAAAATTAATTTTTGTGTACCTTGGTACTACTCCAGATGTTGCTTGCAGTTGAAAATTAGTCTTTGTGTACTGTGGAGCCACTCCAGACTCTCCCTGTAGTTCTAATTGATTGTCAGCTTTGTAATAGTGGTTTCCATATTTGTTATTATTACCTGTACCCCCATCTGACTCTTTGCCGTTGTTTTGGTGAAGATCATTAGCAAGTTCCTGCATTTACAGTGATAGTTGTTGTAGCTGAGCTCCCAATTTAGACTCGATTTGTGAAATTCTTGCTTCCATTCATGACTCAACTTCTGCCACTCTTGCTTCGTTAATTGCCTGAACTTCTTGTAAAAGAGCCCTAAATTCTTTTGCTGCATTGGAATCGCCCATAGTGTTTGGCTTTGATACCAAGTTGTTATGTTCCCGTGTCACGGATCGAGTCACAGGGCGATGCACAAGAAAATCTGCTTTGAGGGATGCAACCTTTCCCTTGTTACAATTCTTGTCTCGTGAAGAACCTATGATTATATATATATGAAACTCGTTGAAGGGAGCTCCTAACCTCAGACTCGTTAGAGAGAGCCTTAAACCTCTATAAATTTGGATGGAAATTCTGTTTGTTTTATTCTCTTCTCACTGTTCTCTTAAATAGAGATTACAAAGGAAATTATTCTTGCAAAAAGAAGAAAACTAAATTAAGGAACAAAATTAAGGACTTAAATTGTAATGAAAATACTTGCTAAAATTAACTCCTCTAATTAGGAATAAAATCATTATTTGTCTTCTTTCCTATTTTGGCACCATTGACTTCCTTATTTTGTGATCCGTGCTATCCATAACAGTCTCGGTGAGACATTTGGAATCATTCAGGTTGATCTGAATAGGTACCTTGAATATTTATGGATATATTTCTTGGGAAGTTTGTACTTCAAGCAAAGGCTTGTCTAGGCATAAGCTGGTCTGCTAGTAGATAGTCTAGTGAAATCCTTAAATGAGGTGCTTCTTTCAGAAAGTTTGTGCGTCTTTGAGAAGTGATTTATTAAATAATTTCTGTTCCAGTCTGAGATCATGATTATTCATGATCTTTTTGACTTTATATGGTATGTTCAGGCCTGGCTTACATATTTTTGGAGAAGAGCCAAGGCTCATGGTGTAGAAGAAGATATCACAGATGAACGACTTCAATTTTGGATCAACCATAGTAGGCAGAGTCCTACATCTCATGATGCTGTTGATGGTAATTCTAATGTCCTGTAAGCTCATGTTCTGAATACATTTGCAGACCCCCTCCCCCCTCCAAACACCAAAATAAATAAATAATTTTCTTGAGGAGATAATACTCCTCCCCCTACCAAAAAGAAAGGAAAAAAAGGTTGTTCTAATTAGTGGAACAATTCTGGGGAGAATGTAATAAAAGTATGAATAGTAAAATTTAGATGTGCAACAAAACTACAATGGAGAAATTGAATGTCCAGCAATTTGAACATGGCTTCCTTCAATGAGGCATGTTAGATTTAGGCCTACATTTCGTTACAGTTATATGGCTTGTGAGTTTGGCAGAATATGCATCTGATAATGCAACAAACTTCTGGAGAAAGTATCAGATGGGGCTTTGGCACTCTAGGTTTTTGACATGGTTGTTGGAAGAAAAGATTGTATTGATGTCTGGCTAGGGAGACTGTACTGGTTGATTAAGATTTTAGATGTGTATGGTCGCTTATGTTTGTCAAAAATGATTTTGCTATAGAGAAATTAAAAATGATTTTGCGCCAAAATGTGATTTTTCTTGCTTCGTTGCAGTGGAGCGATGCTTGACAGAGCTGAGAAAATTGGGAATAGAACAGCAACTGTGGGAAGCATCACGAAAGGAGATTGACCTGCCATCTGCAGCTGCAAATGGCAATACCAAACCTGCTGCAGAATCGGAGGCATCTTCCTGAAGGCTGTGGCAATAATATGTACTTCAACTTCCCCTTTTCGTTTCGTATAAAGAGCTATTTGTATTTACCTTTTCCTTTTGAGTTGTTTGGTGACCAACATTATATTCATTTCGATTGCCCCCTTTGTATACAGAAGTAAAATGATTGTGTTGAGATGAAAAAGTTTTGAGGAACTGTAGTTAAGGCGTTGTGTAAAAATGTAAAGTAGATTGGACGGTACAAAGACAACCAAACCGAATATTGTATATTTGAGAACCAATGAATTTTTTTTTCGGGTACATTATTCAGCAATTCTACTTTCCGTTATGCTTGAATTTCCTAATTTGGTTGGGTAGGAAATTTAGAACATGTATTTTTTACAGTAGCTGCTGCAAACTGGCATCAACTGGAGGACCTTTTTCCTTTCCTTCTCTTTTTTGGGAAAAAAAATATTTTTTCCTTCTTTCTACCCCATCTAATCATTCGTGCCACTCTTCCTTTCGATTCAAATGCAGTTTGAGGCGGCATATCTGTCAGGCTTTTCCTCGTCGATGCAAGATATAGTATGTGGAGGCAATTTAGAACCCTCGACGGCGAAGTGAAGATTCAAAGCAAGTCTTCTTTAATCGACGCCCTCGTCTGTGGTTGTGTTCTCTTTTTTCGTTTTGTTAAGAAAAGGAAATAAAATAAAAAATAGCATTCAATAGACATTATATATATATATATATATATATAGAACCGTGCAATAAACATAAAAATGTTATTATTTTTTTCAACGTATATATCACTTCAATGCTTTTACATATTATTTACGGCAAATCTATTAGCTTGTAGTAATAACATGAATCAAAACCTTTTGGTCATGTTTGGCAAAATTTTTAAGGAAAACTATCAAGCTGGACAGCTTAGTGAAATTAATAATCCAAAAGTTAAAATATAAAATATTTGCATTTAGAATCAGAAAAAAATGCTAATTAAGGACATTTGTTCTCTCAAAATATCTATGTTATTACAATTGTTATAAATATAAATTTGTATAATTATAAATATGAATTTATATAATTACCAGTATAAATATATATTATAAACATGTATTTGTATTTATATTTATAATTACATAGATTTGTGCTTGTAACAATTATAATAATAGAAATATTTTTGAAATATAAATATCTTTAACTAGTAATATTTTTCTTTTGACTCTAAAAAAGATATTTTACATTTCAGTCATTTAAATAATTAAAATTACTAACCCATTCTCATAGGTAATTTTATCAAAATTTTGATGTAAACTCATTTTTTTTTTCCAAGAAAGCATAGAAATTCTATGAATAGAACTTTTGTCAGCAAAAATGTTTGCTTGAAATCCTCTAGTTCTAAGATTTTAATTATTGGACAAATAGTATAGTATGACTAAACTTATGAAAAGGTCTATGAATAGTGAGACACAATTGAATGGATGATAAATGATTAAAGCCTTAAACTGCTTAAAATAATTTAGAATAATTAAAGTATAAAATAAATTGACCGGACAAAAGTTCTTACTTTGAAAAAAATTGACCAAAAATATACATGTACTTTCCTTCTTTCATCTCTTCATCTGCAAGTCATTTCTAATGAGAGAATATATAACACTAATAAACAGAGAGAGAAGTTGAATACGTAAAAAGATTAGATCTTTAGGATCCCAAATGAATTGGCTTATACAAAAAATATTGTCAAAAATTAAATGTTAATAATTAACAGTAGGCCAAATTAACTTTTTTATACTTATCCTTTTTTCCAAACATGTAAAATAAAAAAAATATATAAAATAAAATGATGTTGGAGGAGACTACAAGCCAGCAACAGAGTCAAAAGTCCTTCCTCGAGTGCCTTTCATTTACGACAAGCTACAGCTTGTTCAAACTTCTTTTGCTCTTTCATAAATCTAATTGAATTAATTTTTTTTATTTACAGTACTTAGAAGCTTCTGGTTTTCATAAATCCAGTTGTTCAAAAGTTGCTTCTTTGTTATTCAGAAAGCAATGAAAACAAAGTTCCGAATTTTTTAATTGCATATCAAATTTTTAGTCATATATCAAACAGGCTTTCATTTCTTAACTTTCGCCAAGGCTTCATGATCAGTGAATCCGAATAAACCGAAAAGAAAAGCCAAGGCAGATCCATAAGGAGATGTATCACGACCTTACATTTTTCTTCTCCCTTTTCCTTTTTCGTCCATGGATCTGACATTCAAAAAGGAAAAGAAAAGAAATAAATGTTAGAATAGGAAAACATAGTACAATGAAAAGAAAGCGATACGAAAACATAATATAGGATGCAATTTTTTTTTTATTTTTGAGGATTAGAAATATAAATATTAAGAGAATAATACGCACACGTTGAAAATTAGAAGAATTTTCTTGTTTTACATAGACTACAAAGGAAAAATAAAACAGAACCAAACCGGACAAGAATATACCGGTAAATTTCCTTTCCTTCCACAAATATTTCTCCTTTATTGATCTTGATTCAGACGAGAGACAATATAAACCGAATAAACCAGAAGTATATTTTTAGCAGCCTGGTTAAAGGGGGATAATAGATCCTACCCCAATTTACGGCTAATTTTGCATGGACAAGATGACAACTTTATAAATGCGGTTAATTTATATATAAGAAAACAAAGCCTAACCTCAAAATAATCAAAGAAAAGTAAGACCAAGTGAAGCTTTAATCTCATCAGCCCTTGATTTTGGTATGAGATCACCGCAAATCTGTTGCTAACATGCTATCCTAGGAGCTGAACTATACTGAGTTCATAGTCCTATAATAGATACAAGCTTGAAGCCCATATTAAATTCATACAGCCGTTCGGCTCAAAGGCAAACTACCCAACTTGGATGTAACGAGCAGCAGCAGCACAAACAACACAGAAGGTCAAAACAGGAGAGCCTTCAATCTTAATCTATACGGCAATTGGTTCGGGCAGTGACTCAGGAGGGGCACCACTGCTACCATTGAGAACAGTCACATTACCATCAGTATCAACATCAACAATAACCGAATCCCCTTCTTTGATCTCTCTGGCCAGCATCTTCTCAGCCATGCTGTCCTCCAAGAGTCTCATTATGGCTCTCCTAAGTGGCCTCGCACCATAGCTTGGGTTATATCCTTCCTCAACCACCCTATCTCTAAATCTCTCGGTGACCTGAAGCTCAATGTCCTTGGACTTAAGCCTGTCAAAGACTTCTTTGAGCATTATATCTGCAATCTCCTTCACCTCTAGTTTTGTAAGCTGCCTGAAAACAATCATCTCATCCAACCTATTCAAGAACTCTGGCCTGAAATATTGCTTGAGTTCCTCAGTGACCAGGCTCTTGATTCGGTTGTAACTGCTATCCTTCTCATCATAGTCAAGATCGAAGCCTATTCGGCGCCCTCCTTTCTCAATCACACTGCTTCCCACATTTGATGTCATTATCAATAGTGTGTTCTTGAAATCAACAGTTCTGCCCTTGCTATCTGTCAACCTTCCATCCTCAAGAATCTGGAGCATCATATTGAAGACATCAGGATGTGCCTTTTCAATTTCATCGAATAGTACTACAGTGTAGGGACGCCTCCTAACAGCCTCTGTCAGCTGACCTCCTTCAGTATAACCAACATAACCAGGAGGAGAACCAATAAGCTTGGAGACGGTGTGTCTCTCCATGAACTCACTCATATCAAGCCGAATCATGGCTTCTTCAGAGCCAAAGTAGTAGGCAGCCAGTGCCTTGGCCAGTTCTGACTTTCCAACACCAGTTGGACCAGAAAAGATGAAACTAGCAATAGGCCGATTGGGGTTCTTCAGTCCAACACGAGCACGACGAATGGCACGGCTGATGGCTTTCACAGCCTCATCCTGACCAATCACTCGCTTGTGGAGTGTCTCTTCCATCTTAAGGAGACGGTCAGATTCGTCAGTTGATACTTTCTCAACAGGAATGCCAGTCCACGAAGACACAATGTGTTGAATGTCTGCCTCTGTCACCACAGGCCCTCCATCCCCAGCTTCAGTCTCTGCTTTGCTCATTTCTTTCCCTTTGTCTACTATAGCTGTAATCTGAGCTCTGAGGTCCATCTCTCTATCCCGCAATTCCCCTGCCTATTCAAAACAAATTATAACAAGTTTTATCAACAAAATAATCTAAGGTGCTGAACATGACCCATAACAATCAAAATTTATATAATTGTTTATGAAATATGTAGAGGTCCTCAATTTACTCAGATAATCTCTTAAAAAACCTCAAATAAGTTTTCTATCTTGCTAGATGGCTCCAGAAAACATCAAACCTAGTGCATGATACTCATGCCATCAATTACCTATTTCACAAATTAGATATTCTGTTTAGCCTACAAGTCAACCATACAAATCACCAAATGTAGGATAACGAGTGGGGAATACTGCAACATAATGAGCGGAGAAAATGCAAGTACCTTTTCGAAGTCCTGGCTGCGGACAGCTTCGTTCTTCTCTTTTGTGATCTGCCTCAACTCTTTCTCAAGCTCTCTAGCCTCCTCTGGAAGCTGGAAAGAACAAAGTACTCAACTCAACCACCTAGAAGTGCAACAGGATCAAAAGTTCAAGTAGCAAAATCATTAGAGATTATATACCTGAGCATGGCGAAGCCTAACCCGAGAACCAGCTTCATCAATCAAGTCAATTGCTTTATCAGGCAAGAATCGATCACTGTAATTCACAAACATTTGTAAGATGCGGGGCCAAGTAACTGGGTTTTCTTCAGAAATGATACACAATGTTTTAAGTGAAAGCATGTGCAAACACCAAGTAAGAAACCAACCAGTAAATAAGTTATACAAAGAACCTGTGTATGTTACATCACTATGCTTTTTAGATCTGTTATTTTACACAATAATTTCCAATAGAATCATATCCACACCATCTCATGCCAAGCACTTAGTGGTCAAGCCAGGATGGAACTCAATTTTCCCCTTACTGAAACAAAGGTAGGCTACTATTCTCCCCTTAGCCAGAATAGCATTATAATTATCAAGTGGTCAATCCCTCAGTTTTTTAGACCAAAGGCCAAGAAAATTATCCTTCCATACAATCTTGATGAACTCATCCAAGGATCCTGAATTATAAAGAACACCTTTGCTTCCTTTGGATTATGCAACACCACAGACTTAGCACCTTTTAGATTTGAAAATTTTCCTCTGCCCTCCCATCTACAAGAAACACCTTTCACCTCTCATCTATCCTCCACTCTCAGAAATTCCCTCCATAACATTATCTTCCCACATATCCTCCAAACATCTAACTCAAAGTCATTCACTCATTTTATCACATGAGTTCTGAGTTTCCCCCTTTTCCTTGCTATCTTTCTGTTTTATTTATATATTATATACTGTTCAATATTTGCAAAAACTATAACAAAATAAATTACTAGTAAAAAAACATAAATATAGTAAGTAATGAGATTACAGCTTCTCAAATCATGCAAGTTATTACATAACCAATAAGTAACAGGTGTAGCTTTCATTCTCCTCTAAGCAAGTGCTTGCAATATGCGAAACCACATTCTAGTTTCACATATAATTTTAGGGTTCCCGCAATTGCATTATTCTTGGTGCAAGAGTTCATCTAGATGAGAAGAGGAGGTTGTTCTACACCAGATTCTCCCAAGATGATGAAAACTAACAATAATAATAACTGCAGCATTCAGGTCTCTCTATTATTATGCAATCATATTAGAGTTTCCCTGTGCTCTGAATTGTTGACAAGGATAGCTGATGCCATATTGCAAACCCTAAGTTCAATCCTAATGTAATTATTACAGCATTAGCTTTGTCAAAGACGTATCCAAATTTTTAATCTTCCCACTTATAACATGATTTTGTTTAAAGAAAATATTCTAAAAGTCATCTGGGTGTTTTGTACCAAGACATTTAACAAGAAATAAGGCTGTTATATGGCTAACATAAAATTATAAAGAGTTAGGTTTGAGCTTTTGTCAGTTGATGCATTAAGGTAAAAGTCCCCACCCTCCAGAAAACTCAAAGCTCATATTTCTTGGTCTTTGCAAATGCCCCTGAACAGAACAAGGCCTTTTGGTACCAAGCATCCCCTTTGTTTCTCATCAAAGGAAGAAGATGATGACCATAAACACATTCCCTCTTTTAGAAATAAGCTCAACTACCACAACTTTGGTTTATCTACTAAACTGGTGTTTGGTTTCACAGGCTATTTTGGGAGTTGGTTTTATTTTTATGGAATGAAATACGCCCAGCTCTTTTGCATGGTTGGTTCATTTAAACCCCCCCACCCCCCATTAAACCAACTAATTTAAGCTTTCCTCCTTTTTTACTGTGCATAGATTATAGTGGAAGCATCATACATATAACTAGGTACAATTATATCAGTTTCAAAAAGAACAAGCAAGCAAATGAGACAAGCCCCAAAGTGCTGGCCTCAAAAGACTACAAGATTTGGGCTCTTTTTAAGGGGTAGCCAACAATTAACCTGAAAAAGCACACTCCTTGGAAGAGCTGGGCTCCTTGGAGGTAACCAAATACCCCTTAACAGACCTCCCTCTTATAGACCAACATCTTTGACTTGGTGCAATAAAGAATATTAACACCCAAAGTATAGCTGCCACCACATACCTAATGTATTGGTACGACAACTGAGCTGCAGCTACTAGTGCCTCATCTGTGTATCGAAGTTTGTGGTGTATCTCATATCTCTCACGGAGCCCTTTCAAAATCTGTATGGTTTCATCAACAGAAGGTTCAGGTACCTTCACGGGCTGGAAACGTCTCTCCAGCGCTGGGTCCTTTTCAATATGCTTTCTGTATTCATCAAGTGTGGTGGCCCCAATGCACTGCATTGATTGGGACATCAGCAATTTTTCTGTTAACATCATGATAATAGTAATAACAACAATCATCATAATAATAATAGCATTCAACCTAATGTTAGAAGGATCAAAGTACTTTATTTACAGAAAATAATCAATTCCAGAAATATAGCTACACAGTTAAAAAAAAAGTGCTCCTTGTACCTGCAATTCACCTCTTGCAAGAGCTGGCTTCAATATGTTGGCAGCATCAATAGCCCCCTCTGCTGCTCCAGCTCCAATTAACGTGTGCACCTCATCAATAAACAATATTATTTCGTCACTTTGTTTAATTTCTTCCATCAGCTTCTTCAGTCTCTCCTCAAACTCTCCACGATATTTTGTGCCAGCAACCAATAGACCCATATCCAGGGTTATAACCTAAATTACCACAACAACATTATCATCTTTTACTTCAAAACAACATATGAAATCATCCCAGAAAAAAAATGTCTCAAATTGAAGAAATTTAATAAGTTTAGCTATCATAGCATGATGCACTGCCGCATTTCATAGCCTAAGTAGCTGTCAATGTATTTTATAATTTGAACAAGGAGAAATAATCACATCAAATCTCCAATTGCAAATATTATCACATAGGGTGTGGAAATTCACACTTCCAGGAAAGAACAAATTCCAATGGTAAAGACAAAGGACAAAGCATCCTACCAGGTATGATATGTAGAAAATAGCATAACATTTACAATAAAATACTCTCATCAAGTGGAAACCATTTCCTTGAGCAGTATGGATGTTAAGAGGGTTTATGCATGACAGGAAGTGTGGCTGGAGAACTCATAAATTTGGCAGCTTAAGTGGAAATCTACAGCAGGAGTACATTCTCATAAGCTATCACTTCAACCAATGCAATAAATATAACACCTTGAATTTAGTAACTTCCACTCACACAAGGAAAGGAATTAACAGAATGGGGAAGAGAAGAGTACATCAAGGATACATAACAGAATTTAGGTTTAATTTATTCAAAGAATATAAATTTGTAGTTGTTTTGTTTTGTTTTGCTTTGTAGTAACCATTTTCCCATAATCCAATGGAGAATATGACATGATTTGCAAAATGAACATGTTCAATATAACTAAACAAGATTAAAGATGACATGTGAATACAAATTGTCTAGAAGAAAACTCCTTTTTTTGTGACAGATTAATACATAACTTGCTATTTAAGAAACAATCTCATTTGCTCCAAATTTAAGGTAGATTAATTAGTAGCACACTAAACTAAGCATGGTTCTATCTTTGCATGCACCCAACAACTCTTCCAACAGTGATTTTCTATCACAACACATTCACATTGCTTTCATTTATCGTCTGGCACTAGGCACCACAACTTACATCAATCTGCAAAGTGCTAACCTCACAAACCAAAAAGTGCCTACTTCCAGTTTGACCAAACACTCTATGATGCTCATGCTTATGCATGAGCTGCTGTTAGTAATCAAATGTAATAAGCTTTTGGTTTGCCTACTACACTGGTGTTAGGCCATGCAAGGATTTTCATCATCCAGGTAGAAGAAAGAAACGAGTTAAGCATTAAGATGACTTGACATTAACTCCATATTGGGTCCATAACATCTTATAAATGCAAATTGATGCCCATGAAGAGAATATTTGACAGCAAATGGCAGATGGTTCAATTATATCCCATCTTCAAAATAAACTCATACTCCTACTGACCTTCTTGCCTTCTATTGTTTCTGGAACATCACCATTTGCAATTCTTTGAGCAAGCCCTTCTGCAATAGCTGTCTTTCCAACACCAGGCTCTCCAATAAGGCAGGGATTATTTTTGGTCCGCCGACCCAAAATTTGGGTCACACGTTCTATTTGCTGCTGCCTTCCAACAACTGGATCCAGTTTACCCTGACAATAATAGCAAATCAGGTTAACAGTCAAATACCGTTCAAATAAAAAGCAAAACAATTCATGATAGGAGCAACTTACCTCCTCTGCCAATTTTGTCAAATTAGTGCCATATTCCTCTAGCGTTGGCATTTTATTGCCACTGGATCCCCCACCAACCCCCGCACCAACAGCTTCTGTGCTTTCTCCAACCATTCGAATGACCTATAACCCAGTGAAGATTATCTAGATATTACAAATTACAACTTAAGAATAAAATTTTTGAATTCAGAAAAACAAAACACTGGGATAGTGACAAAACTTGCCTGTGTTCGGATGTTGCTTGGATCAGCACCTAAATTCTCAAGAACACGAGCTGCAACACCTTCACCCTCACGAAGCAATCCCAATAGCAAATGCTCAGATCCTATATAATTATGACCTGCAACATTAAGGAAATAAAATTATTGCATGTACATGGCACATATAAGTAAAATGTTTAACACATAGCTCAGGTTTACATGTCACAACATAAAGCAGGATGCAGCATATGCAAATGAAACAAAGCGCAGGCCTCAGATTTTTTTATAAGTTTCAACCCAACAAAAGCCCAGTGCTCTAGTATTTAGGCCAAAGACAAGGAGTGAAGCAAGTTACCCAGCTGTCGGGCTTCCTCTAAAGAGAGTTCCAAAACACGCTTCGCACGAGGAGTAAATGGAATTTCAACAGCAACAAATCCACTGCCCCTACCAATGATCTTCTCCACTTCCACGCGTGCATCTTTCAAATTGATTCCCATGGACTTAAGAACCTTGGCTGCAATACCAGTGCCCTCACCGATAAGGCCCAACAAGATCTGCTCTGTGCCAACAAAATTGTGACCCAAGCGTCTTGCTTCCTCTTGTGCAAGCATAATGACTTTTATTGCTTTTTCTGTGAACCGCTCAAACATAGCTTTTGGCACCATGCTGATAGCCCTTCGTCGTCGTACTGACATTGCAGCTGCCACCTTTGAATGGAAGTCATTACCAGTTCTAAGCATATTATCTAGAGCATTAACTCCTCGCAACCCAGAAAAACTTCTCATCCTCAAAGAAGATGCTTGGGAAATACACATCACTTTCACATTCCTTTTTGTCTTGCTAGACCCCTTGAGCTGGCCATGCCTTTCACCAGCAACTGAAGAAAGAAAATTAGTCGACTGAACCAAAGCACCAGCCATGACTCCCACCACGAGGTCTGCGTTACGCAATGCAAAAAATTAAACAGCACATACCATGGGCAAGAGAACAAGTGCATACAATATATCATTCCATACACAGAATTTTCAAACCTAAAATACTAAAAAATAAAAATTTTGTAAATCAAGACAAGCAAATCACCAACAGTTAAAACTTTAAGAAGACCAATCCATAATTAAACCACTCTCAATATTCCTACAACAGAAAAGTAGTGAAAACATGTTGTAACTCGGGCATATCATCTATACAGCATCATCCTGATCAAATTTAGTCCCTTCAGTTTTTAATTGTTTGTTGCCTTATATATTTATCAATTTAGATAGAAACTGTTGCATACAAATTTGCTATCACACAGTAGGTCAAGCACGCTGCTTCTGCAAAAAATTTGTTCATATTACTATTACTAATAGACAATGGATCTGCTAGAAACAATTAGAAATAGCATGCAATCTGTAGCAATTGAAATTAGGACTAAATTGAAATTGGGACCATATACAAGAGTTATTAACCATAATTTTCCCATTAAATATAACATATTCCAGGCTCTCATGAAACATATTCCAGGCTCTCATGAACTTCTAAATTAATTACATAAATGGCAAACAAAATCAAATAGATTAAGTTAGATCACAAGGAGATTGGGAGCAGGAAAGGAGAATAAAATTGCTTGTTGAGATAATTATCCCCCTGTAGAAAGTAGAAATCTTTCCCGAGTATACAACCAATTATATATTGGCTAATTGAGATAGGAAAAGATGTTCAATTTAACAGCTTAGAGACTCTTTGAAAAAGAGTGGAAACAGCTTACTTTTACTACTTTGTTTTAAATTAAGCTTTTTTTCAACTTCATCCAATTTGTTTTAAGTTCAAAAGGCTATAAATAAATTTTCAAATACAAAAACAGTAATTAAAAAATTAACAAGGTGAAGCAAATATGAAATAAACAATTTACACGCCTAGGTCATTTATGGCACAACTATAACTAAGACATGTAGAGCCACACCAGCCTTATCGGGGAACAATGTCAACAAAGTAAGACACGCACGAAACAGAAAGTTTAGTGTGGATTAAACGGCAAACTTCAAGGTAATTGCATAAAAATCAATGCAAAGATACAGTAACAAATTCCAGACAAAACCCTGAGTTACAAACCCGCAAACAAAAATTATTATCCAGACTAATCGGCTCATAAAAGTCGGATTCTCAGATAAGCTTAGGACTAAGGAAAGGAACAATCATTAGCCATTGAAACTTTTGTAAAAGCAAAGAATATACTTCGAGTCAAACTGCAAAATAAATCAATCTCACTAGTTTACGATTAAACACTCGGTTATCGATTCGTAAATTGAATTATTATGTTACCAGAATGAGCAAAAACTTTACAAGGACCGATAGCTACGAGAAAATTCTCACTTACAACCTACTAACGCACTGAATAAACGGCCAATTGAGTGCATAGCACCCACAAAGATTACAACATTAAGCCCATCCGACACTATAACCAAGGCATATTACCTCGAGAATAAGACAAAAATAGGGACGAATAGCAAAACCCTAAATTGGATGGTCTGAAACGCGTGAAACCGCGTAATCATACAGATATGCACATATAAAACGGAAACATAATAAATAATATTACGAATACAAATAGATAGGGAGTTGAACTAGTTTACCCAAGTAACCGTGGCAGAGCTTGTTGATTTGAGAAAGAAAGAGGAGGAGAAAGAAGAATAATAGGATTAGGGAAGAAGAGGGGACGATAGAGGGAGCCACCGAAGTTGGTAGCGTAAGAGTAGCCCTTTATACGGTCGGCTAGATTGGAAAGATAGGTAGATGTGGACGATAATTACGCGCTCCAGATAGATATTATTAATCTTCAGTTGCTCTCCCTGTGTACTACACGCTGCACCATCACCCATCGTAGACTCTCACATACCCAGAATTAATCTCACAGTATGCTAATCTCACATGTCCGTCTGTTTCCTCGCGTCACCGACACCGCCTTCCCTGTGGTTATTGGGCTAATTACACTGTTGATCCTTGGGGTTTAAAGAAAGTGGCATTTTAAGCTTTATATTTTTAATTTGCTCACTATCAATCAATGTTCATTGACTCGTTTGGACACGGTACTTCCGTCTTTTTTTATTGGAATTGTGGGATCAAGAGATTATTCATTGTAAAAGCGTATAGTTACGTTGTTGCTTGTCGTGGTTTGTCATTATTTTCACTTTAATTTTGTGCATCTAATATGCTTGATTTTAGGATTAAAATTATTTTAACCCCTTCAACTTTCTTTTCTATTTAACTTATTCCTCTAAATTTTATAATGTCTCATTGACCTCTTGAATATTAATACTATTAATTTGTCATTATATTTATCCTTGAACTCTTTAATCTTAAATATCAAATATGCTAAATATTACCATTAGAATATTTAATTATTAATATTCAAAAAAAATTTAAGTTTATATATTATAATTGATAATAAATATTATTAAATTTATTTAATTTTAAATATCAAATAAAAATATAACTAAATTTTACAAAATTAATTTAAATTAATTGTGCAACGTAACTAAATAATAAGTTACCAATTATAAACAAATAATTTAAATTTAGTAAAAATTATAAATAAATTATTTGAATTAAATTAGATTTCAATTACTTCATGGAATATTTTTACTAAATCCAAATTGTTTATTCATATTTAGTAATTTTTTATTTTAGTTAAGTTACTTAAATAGTCTTAATTAAAATTTGCAAAATTTAACCATATTTTAATATGATATCTAAAAATAAATATATTTCATAATATTTATTATTAATTATAACTTATTAATTTAAAATTTTAAAATTTTAACAATTAACTATTTTAATAGTAATATCTAAAATATTTAGTATTTAATATTAGAGAATTTAATTAATAAATCTAATAGTAGATTGTAATAGCCCGAATTTAACAGTTTATTTAGATTAGGGGTATAAGTGGAGGAATTGAAACTTGAGGGGGGTAAGTTGAAAATATCTCAGGGACTGAATTGAGGATGGGCAGAGTTGAAGGACCAAAATTGAAATTTCTAAAAAGCCTAACAGGAACAGTGTTCGAAGTCGCCTTCCGCCAATTACCCCACATTGGGTAATGAGTTGAGCTTGTTTTCCATGCCATTGTGTGCGTTTTTGCAGAATGAACAAAACCCCTCAGTTTATTTTTGGTTTTGCAAAAGTTGGGTGAGGGATTGTGAGTGATTTCGTGGCTGTCGGGCTCGCGGTAGACAGGGGGAGGGAGCTATGTTTGGAGGCCATTTGAACGGCTTTTACTTCGATCAACCGTCGCCGTGTGGGTCGCCAAGGTCAACCATGTGGAGTGGAGTGGCCAACTGACTAAGGTAAGCCGCCCTACCTAGTGTTTTCTTCTTTTTCCCGGTCGGCCAGAAGTTGCAGGCAATCGGGTTGAATACCCGGTTGCCGGGTGGAAGGGACAAACCCAGAAGAGTCCAGGTCCCCCGTGCTGGGCTGGTCAAGGGCGTTCGGCCTGGGCCCAACCCAGTTGTCATGGCGGCCCACAGGCTTGAGTCGTGGGTTGACCCAAAAAAAAGAAAAAAAAAAGGGCAAGTTGGGCAGAGTTGACTCGATCCGAGTCGACTCGACCTTGTGCGGATGGGGCAAGTCAACCCGTCTGGGTTGACTCAGTGAACTGGGGATATGCTATCCCCGAGGATAGTAGGAGCTGGGATAAGGGTGCTTGGGGATAAATGGGGATTAAATAACCTTGAATTAATTAGATTAGGGTTTTGGAGTTGATTAAACCGGCCAGAAATGGTTTAATGTTTGACCGGCTGGTTCAGTGGTCAAATGGGCTTGGTTTTGGGAATTGGATTGGTTCTAGATTCAGGGGGATGAGACCTATCAAACCAAGTGGGTTCGGAAAATTTTGGGTGGTCGGTTCAAGGTGAACCGGCCAGTTTAGTGTGACTTCCTTCGGGCGACTAGTTCACCGATTTTTGGACCGGTTCTTGGAGAGTTTGGACCGATTCCTGGTTTAGCACATGAAAACCTAGATAACTGTGAAGTTTGATGAATTTTAGAGGTCCAGTTCAAGATGAACTGGCCTCGTTTTGCGTGCCAATGTTTAGGGTTTGAGTTCTTGGCCGATCCAGGGCTAATTTAAGTCTTTTTGGCCGGTTCAGACCAGTTCTTAGTATTTTTGGGCCTTCTAAATCCATTTTTGAGGGTTTCATGCCCGATTGAGTTGAGCTTGAGGTAGTTTTAAGCCAGGTCAGGCCAGTTTAAGGGTTTTTAAAGGCCGGTTCGTTGTGTTTTGCAAACTATGGAGAGTGGTTCTATTTTGTTGAGGGTTCTGAGCTGGTTAATGTGTGTTAAGAGTCACGTAGGTTTCGGTAGCAGGTCTCGGTGCCTCGAGATGCATACTAGGATGTCGATTTTGGATTTGAGCTCGGTTTGAGGCTACTGAGCCCATTTTTTGTATTGAGTTTGAGGTTGGTTATGATTTTGTGTAGTTTTATTTTTCAAATATGCCTAAAGAGGTACACCCGGACTGGTGAGACGGGTGAGGGTGACTAGGACTTCTTTTTTGACCTGACTTTTGTACTATGAGTGACGATACCTTTTCTATACTTGTGTTTCTATACTGTTTTACTGGCATGATGATTATGTAACTTTTTAACTGTATCTGGATTATGTGTTATGTGTCCTTGTGTACTGTCAGTGAGTTATATTGATATGTTGTTATGAGATTTGAAACGTGAACTGTATATGCATATGTATACCTGTTTATGACCTATGTGTGAGGACGGTACCACGCGATGTGATTTGGGATGGAAAGAGCTCGGCTGGACGTACGGTGACCCGTAGCATCTAGTGGTGAGTCGACCTGAGTCCTTGTTGAGGCGATAAGGGCCACGAGCATGATGTGCACATCGATGACGTGTTTGGGATGGTAGGCTCAACTGACGGACAGTGG